GATTTTTCTAATCTAAATTGTACCCTAAGTAAATGAATATAAAATTGAGAGATTATTCTTTATCTTCCCAATAAGATGAGTAGCTTTAAAGGTTTATGGCAAAAATTGCCCTAAATTTCCAGGGATAGACTCTATATACATGTTAATCCGATAAAAAAATCATATTTCAATTTTAAAGAATAATGGCGACGCTAAAATGATATTAGTTTTTTTTGTTTTAAAATGCAGATTTTTAAGATTAAATGAATTCTTTCAATCCTTCATTTGCATCATTACATTGTGGTGATCTGCAATAATTTATTTTTTGAAAATATACTCCTGAAAAACTTTTAAAAATGGAGATAGAACATTATAATACTAATCCAAAGATAAGTCATAGCTCAGGGTAATTAGCAATTTATAAAACCTCATTATTTACGGCATGCGTTTTTTTTTCTAAACATATTGGAAGAACTTGTTTTTTGCTGAAATTTATTCTATCATCTAAACCAATATTCTTGAAAATTTCCGACAAATTTATAGGAAACTCTTGAGCCACACCAAAATTAGTGATATGATTGCTCCGAAATTTATAGGTTTACTCTATCAAAGATCTGCAAGGCCCGATCTGACCTGTTAGAATTTCTTACGTAAATTTTCCGGCTTTAGAACACAGCTCGTTAAAAAATTTTTGTACGAATTTTTGGGACCATCATATTCATAATGTCTGTATCTAATTTTTTTTACACAATGTCAATTAATGCTCGTTCTTATATCCCTAATTTATGAGTATCCGTTAGTTTAGAACCGGAAATGGAATATCCGAAACCGAACTAGAATTGTTAATTAAAATTTATAGGAACCAGAACCATTTAAAAATTTCGAGGAATTGAACGAATTTAAACAATATTACTATTATTAGATGGATCTACGATTGGTTGTCTAATTCCTTTGCCATATTATTTTTTTAAATTCCCTCGAATTTCAACGATGATCTTGTGTCATATTATCACCTTTCTCAGCTTCGTAATCGACGCCGCTGGTTTAAGGTGTATTTATATAAATATCCCACAGAATCAGGAAAACATGTAATTCTATTTTTTTTTCATTGATTAAGGAGGGTGGATTTCCTGGTTTTGAAATTTATTGTTTAATTAGAGAAGGGTTTGTTTAAAAGATCTTATCGTACATATTTCTGATTAGAGGTAGGGGGGAATAATCTTTAACCCCCATAGTGTCTGATGTCCATGTCTACTTTGTATTGTTCTTTAACATTATATTTTTTTTATTCCTCGCTTGCCACGCATATGGGCAATCAAAAACAAATACCGCACCCTTTAAGCCCTATGTACTTTTGGTTCTTTTGTCCGTGTCGGTGATTGGCTGCAAATATATTAAATGTGTCTCAAACAATATCATTTTTTTAAAAAAAATTGTCCAATCTTTCATATCGTTTGAATTTAAATAGTCATCAGGAGCGCGTACTTATAATGACTTTCTGAGAAAAAAAACTTCAAACTGACGATCATTTCATCAAAATATTTTTAGCTTCGTTGAATATTAGGATGGCCCGCCATTCTGTTTTCTCATATATATTTGTTTTATATGGTAAACCTAAATGTTCTGGAAACCTCAAAAAAAAAATCAAAGCGCTAGCGGACTTATATTTATCGATTTAATATTTGCAATTAAAAAAAACACATGAAGACCGACTAATTTTTATTATAAATTTTTTAATTTATAATGGTTGGTAAAATATAATAAATAACTAAGTAAAAAAAAATAAATAAATCTTTTAAAATAAAAGCGAAACATAACATTAAATATGTGTCAAAATTAATTAAGTCAAAAAAAAAATCATTTTCTTTCACTATCATCATAAAAAATATTTATTATAAACCAAAAATTAAAAAAGGAAATAGGTTTTTAAAAGAAAAAAAAATGACATCTTTTTGAAAAAAATAAATAAATAGATTTTTATGGTTTTAGATATATAAAATAATTCATCATTTTTCCAAGACTCGTGGAAAAAAAATTTAACATTAAAAAGATCACATTCTTTGTAGATAAAAATCTAATGATTTGGGGGGGGGTGGGGAGGAAGAAATAGTGTTGTTAAATAGGTTGTATTGAGCCTTTTTTAAAAAAGGTTAAACTGGATATTTTAGCCTGAAAAATATTTCGCATACCTGATGACTTTACTCATAGATGGCACAAATGTTTGGAAATCTATTAGCCAAATCTCGAGGCTTATGCAATATTTCTCTGGCTAAAATATTGAAGCAGCCGTTTTTTTTGAATAATTGTCTATGATTTTTGGATTTAGAAAACCTTTCTAGATCACTTCATTTGTTGCGTTTAAAAAAAAAATTAAAGATACTTTTTTACTAGGCGTTCACGGTTAGCTAAAATAACATATAAATATAATAATTTTACATTAATTTTTGTATACTTCGACGCGAATTCACGTTAACTGTAAACGCGAGTTAGGCGCGTAAACGCCCTCCCCCATCGCAAATTTGTCTGTTCTAGTAAATATATCATAAATTTAATGTTATTAAACGGCTCGATTTTTAAAAATGACTAAACTCAAAAAATAGTTATCCAAGCCATTTCTGCCAGCTATGAGCAAAATCTCTAGACTCGCATAATTAGTAAAAATACATAGACTATAGTTGAATTTAGCCGTTTAAGTCAATTTTTTAACCGGACAAAAAAATGTGCAAGACCATTTTAAAAGACACTAATATTAATATTAAAACACAAAAAAATGTGCAAGACCATTTTAAAAGACACTAATATTAATATTAAAACACCTTACCTCCTCACTCAGTTAGCACGAATTGGGAGATATTTTTACATACCTCGCCGCTAATTCGCACTAACTGTGTGAGGAAATAAGTAGTTTTATCCGACACGCGCCTATAGATTGAGCCAATTTTAGTCATTATCCTACTATACTAAAAGACCTTCAATAAAATTTATTTGGTATCCCATCCTCCCCAATTTTGTTTGATAAATTAAGATTATCTTTTTTACTCCTTAACTAAACCACAAGATTTTCACAAAATGGTTTCTAGGGAATTAAATTTATTAAGAGGAAAATGCTCATATTGAATTGTAGCAGTGTTTTAAACAAAAAAATGGGAGAAAAGAACCAGGGGCAGGCGACGCATGCGCGATAGTCTTAAGTAAATAAATATAAAAAATTGGGCGTTTCATTTATTTTGGGACCTGTTACATGTTTATAATTTAATATTATTATTTTTTTTTTGGTAATTTTTAATTTTCATAATTTTATTTTTTAAAGTTCAGAAATAATTTGCAAATACGTAATTTATACACAATTGAAAATAATCATTTTTTAAAGAAAAAAAAATGATGTTAAATTTGTTTATTTCCTAACGCGATAAACACAAAATGATTTGTATTTTCAAAAAATCGTGACGATTAGATTTTACGACTCAAGTCGCGCGCGATCGTTAACTAAAAATGCGATTATTTTGTATTTATCGCGACTAAATCGCGATCGCGCCACTATGAATTTAAAGGTAGACAAGATTATGCAGAATATCGAATATTGTTAATTTCTTGTATATATAGGGCTCAGTGATGGATGGTGACGTAAATATATTGAAGATTTTGTAAAAGATTGGTGGATGAGGTGGGGGGGGGGGGTCTTATTACCAATTTATGATTGACCTAAGGATAAAGAAAGTTTTGTTTAACAATTTTATAATTCACAGAAAAATTATTATAAGTTTTTGCCAATCTCACAATATAAAAAAAGGAATTCAAGATTATGAAGTTAAAAGCAATGTTTTTCATATTTTTTGTTTCAAAGATGGTTGTAATTTTTTTTTTTTAAAACAACATTGTACCAAAACAAGAACACAAGGAAAATACACATTTTTATATTAAGTATAAAATATATAATTTTTGCAAACTTAAAGAGCAAAAAAAGTCGATGGTTAATGGCACACACAAGCACAGATGTTAAGTAAAATATAATTTTCATCTCATAATTTTTCATCTTTTTTTTTATCTCATTCCAAAAATCTTTTTAAATTGAAAAATTATAATATGAGCATCATTTAAAATTGTTAGTTGCTTTTGATAACAAAAAGAAGATCTGGTTAATAGGATGATTGTTGTTAATTTATTAAAGTATATATATTTATTTATAGGATATTTAAATGTTCATAAATTTTATCCCTTCGTTCGAACGTTCCAGAATGAGAAAATGATTTATACAAATCTACGCAAATTAACGGGAAATATTGACAAATGATTTTAAAATGGATAATATTGAATAATATTTTTTTAATAATTCAAGTCATAAAAATGGATATGTTTAAAAAATATTATTACTCGAAAAGCAGAAGAAAAATATTTATATGTGAAGAATTATTTGTACAATCTTCTAATATCCTTTATTTATATTGGATCTCCTGATTTCGCTTACACTGCATAAACAGAGTTGGGGAGGGGGGCTTTAATAGGTTTATGACAATATTAGAGGAGGGCATAGGGTAAAAAGGCTAATTATGCAAATTGGCCAATGGTTGCATAACAAAGTTTATAATTTTTTGCAGCTGGAAGTTGAAGTGAGGTAAAGAGTGTGCTCAAAAAAAACTGACGTACTTATAAACTTGTTGGAAAATTTTCTGCTACTCATGGTCGATAATATGAAAATAAAATCAACCTTTAAATATTTACTTATAATTTCCACTTTACACAGCTATATGGAACCAGGTCTTAGGTTTATAAAATTTTTACAAAGACAGGGGTATGACAGGATACCCTTCAGGACACGGCAGGGTGCAAGTCAAATTTTTAGATTTTAGGACACCAAATTATGGGTAGGAGCCCTATAATGATTGTTGTTTTGGATAAGGGGTTTGGCCACAATATTTTAAATATTTTTGGCGTTACGCCTCTGCCCATTGCCATGTAACGTGAGCAGTCGACTTCGCAAGACTGAATAATGAATATATTACACAAAACAAAAAATAGTTTACGAATATATAATATCCTTCTCCGATTTGTAAACGTCCTGATGAAGAGACGAATGATTAAGGTGCCTAGAAACTGGAGTTCCTCCAGTTGCGTGGGCAGAATTTCCCGTTTCCGGTAAATAATAAGAATTATTGTTATGGTTATTATATCGAAATTGTTGAGAACTACATGAATTTAGGTCGATGTCGTTATCGTGTTTGTTAGTTTCTAGGTGATATAAGGTATTGTTATTGAGATTTCCTGACGACGAATTATGGTGAGATATAGAAGAATTAGGAGCTTTGGGGGATACGACGTGGTTTATGACGGTGTCTACGCCTTTCATAAGAGAAGGGGATACCTTATTTTCGATTTCTATGTGAGGCATTATGGTGGCTACTATCCGGGATCCCGAATTGGGAGCCAGCTTATAATTGGAATAACTATTATTGTAAGTCGAATCACTATTTGTTGAACATAGTACGAGGCTATTATCACCTTGTTTAGAAATTAATATTTGGTTGGATGGATTGTTCTTAAATGAATCATTGTTTACCCTGTTAATATTACTTCCCGTTCTATCGGATGATAATTGGGGGTGGGGATGAAAAGTCGCGATTTTTTTTTCGATAGCGGGAAACGATTCTGGATCATACAAACCTGGTATTTGATGCGCGATTTGGGATTTCTTGTTAATATTGTTACCAATACCGACATGTTCGTATTTTTCCACGAGTAACCCGCTGGCGGAAGAGGAAATGGGATTATTAGAGAATGTATGGGGAGATAATTTATCGTTATCGTTGATGAATAGCGGGTCGCGATTTACGTGGCCCGAATCAATAGGTGACGGGCCGCGATGATGGTGTCGGTGAGGAATTGCCATCTCAACCGTTTTAACATTTTGTTCAAACTTTTTTTTTAAAAAAAAGAAACAAAAATAAAATTATAATAATTTTGATTTATATTTGATATATTATAATCATAAATAACTTCTTTTTTTTTTAATAATGATATTTAGATTAATCAAATATTTAACGGCATTTAACAAAACAAAAAATTTTAATATAATTAATTATTCATTTATCTTTATTTAATTATCAAAACGGTATGAAACATCAAAAAAAAAATTAGAAATAAATATTTATATTTAATTTGATAAAATTAGAAATAAAAAAAAATAAATTATAAAATATTTTTAAAAAAAAATTAAAAATAAATAAATATTTAAACGTGTCTACCAAACAAAGAATTTTATCATTTTAAACATTCATTAATGCGATAAAAAGACACTCTATCAAAATTTATAAGTCATATATTTATATTTCATTTTTTTTTACTTTTCTTTTAAAAATTAATTATTTTTTCGTTTATCTTCTCTTTTTTTTAAAACAAATTACTAAATTATCACTTTTAAATATACATTTAAAATTATTATATCAATCATTTTATAATGGGGGATTCTTATCAAAAAAAACATATGATTTAATTTTTTTTTTATAGATTTATTTTAAAAAAATTCAAAAATATCAAAGATATACAAAAAACAAAATGTTTAAAATTTTTAATTTTGTAAAAGTCGTTAAAAAATATTTTTAAGTAAATAAAAATTTTAATGTTTAAAAGTTAATAATAAAACAATAAATTTTATTTTTTAAAAAAAAAAAAATTTTTTTTATTGGTAGTTATAATTTTATTTTCTTTTTTTTTATTACCCTATGCGCCATGAAGTAATAATCATTTACAAATCATCATATTAATAATAAATAAAATTATTATGAGACAATTATTCAAAGCCGCCATTTTTGATCGGTCAAAAAAAATACTAAAATTAAATGATTAAGATATTTATGATTATTTTTTAAAAATTTTGATTGATTGAAAATAATATTTATAAAATAATAATTATATTTTGTATAATATTTTTTAATAATAGTATATTTTTATTAATAAATAAATAAGAAAAGTATAATTTTTATTTTTGACTTTTATGTTTTTGACGAATTATGTAAATATAATTTTGGTAAAAAGCGGCAAAGATTTAAAAATTATAATATTTTTTAAAAAAATTTGCAAAAATTATAATTTCTTATTAAATTCATAAAATTTAGTAACAAACAAAAAAAAACAAAATGTTTTCTTCAAAAAAATTTTGAAAATGAAAGAAAGATATCGTTATCCTATCATTTTTTTTTATATGCATTGTTTTTTTTTTCATTATATAATTCTTTTCTATTTTTTTTTATCTTATAACAAGTTTATGCCATTGTGTTTGTGTTAACTAATTTTTAAATTATTCAGACATAAAATAATAGTGCACACAAAATTGAGCGTTTCAAACACTGCATTGCAAGAGTAAATGAATTTCAAATGGCCTCGTGTAAATTGGTAAGATTACCGTTTGGCGTTGGCTACCATTTTAAAAAAACATAGGTTTGTCTTTTCATTACTTGTATAACTTATATTCTAAAAAGGAATATTTAGAAAAAGAAAAAAGAGCAAAGACGATAATATATTTTCAAAGACAAATCCTTTTTTTTAGAACATATTTATAATTTTGAATCTACGATAATATTAAAAAGGCAATCTCAATTTGAACAAGATGTGTGTTGCGTTTTTTTTAACTCACAATTTGTGTGCATTATATTAAAAATACGCAAACTATAACGATTTTCGAGGCCGTCATAACTCGCTTTTTTTCTAAACTCTTTCCAAAGCAGAATTGAAATCCGGCCCGTGTACCCTGTCATGCAGGTCTTTGATATATTTTAGCGTTGCATAAAAATCTAATATATTTTTAATACAAGCAGATTAAAGAAAAAAAAATTCCGAACACCTCTTATAACTTTGAGGACTAAAAGGCTAGCTATAGGACCACCTTGTGTCTATTATGAATGACTAGCACCTATTTGAGGAAAAGTAATGACATCTATTTATGGATAGATTCGTTGTTGGGCGAATTTTAAAAATAAAAAGTCATAAGTATGATTGGCCATTTTAACCATTCATTCGCTTCTCATATTTTTGAATTATAATCTTATTCAAAATTACCAAATTGGTTTGGTGGGATTTGGGAGTCATTTATTTTGAACCTTATCAAAATAAGACCGTTTCCCTTTCACACCCCGTGGATTTATATAAAAAGTTAAAAATTATTTTTTAGTATCCATTAGCGAGGAAACGTAGAACCCCTCTAAATATTTCCCTTTTTTTCCAGAATATTAGTATAAGAATAAATATTTATAGAATTTATTTTTTTTTAAAAAATAAAGTTTTTGATTGATGAAAATTGCACTTTTTAAGCCTTTAGCGATTTCTTATAAAAAAATATGAATAAATTTTAAAATTTTATGTAATTTTTAATTTCTATTTTTTTTTATATAAATTTTGTTTTTGTTTTAAAGAGGTGGTAAAATTGTTTTATAAGTTTGTTCTGCTTAAAATATAATATTTTATTTAAATAATTTATTTTTTTTCAAAAGATGACATGTCAATCAATGTCAAAAAATATGAATGATGATTTATAGAAAATATTTTATTTACTATAATATATAATGTATCGAAAGCTATCCTGAAAATTTATTGATTTTTGGTTTGGGAAGAAAATAATAATTTCAATTTTTTAAAAAAATTCATAATAAATCAATAAATATAAAATACTAACTTGTCGAATTTGAGCAATAATAGGACAGGTTTCGATACCTATATTTTTTTACTAGTTTAATAATCCAATAGCATCGTAAGGAAGAGGGTGCATAATTTCTCAAGCCATCTAAAACTTTGGAGTTGCCCGCCTTAAAAAAATATGATTTTTTTAAATACAAATTTTAGGCACAATTGCTTCAAACGCTTTAAAGGGGATGGTTTTGCCCGGGAAATTATTGTCGATAATTGCAAAAATTCCACTCTTCCTAGAACTTATACTCCGGCCGAGGGTTGGGGTCATGACGCAAGATCTTCATTTCAATTGGATTGTAGGTATAGATGACGTTATTGCCATTTTAGTCATATTGAAGGGGGGAGGATAGTTATTATATGATATACATTTTTTTTGCTTAATTTTGATTTTTATATTAAAATTGTTGAAAAGTAGTACCTTGAACTAGTAATTAATATTAGTATTTTCATTAAAGAGTTCATTTTTAAAATGATTCGTCTCTTGAAATTTATAAGATGGTGATTTTATTACAATTCATTTATAGCAGATAAAAAGGGAATCAATAGTTTTAAAATTTATTTTTAAAAAATAAAATACGTTATTTTTAAAAATTAACGCTTATTGGATTTGGACACGTTTAACTCTACTAACTTATTATTGCTAACCTCATCTTGAAATATTTTGAAAAACATCACATAAACTTATTTGTCTAAATCGACCAATCACTTATTGAATCCATCACTGTGATTTTTCATTTATGTATTTTTTTCATCTCTGATAATTCTTAAATAAAAAGCTATTCTATGATATTTTTTATAATATTTTTATCGTAATTATTATAATAATAATAATATTTTAACAAATTTACAAATATTTTTTATAACCCTTTTAGCCTAAAAACAATATAAATTCTGCCTTTAAGAAAATTTATAAACTATATGTCAAATAAAAGGATATGACTCAAAAATTGTTTTGAAGATACCGATAAAAGTCTCTCGAATCGATTACAATAAACACCGAAATTAATCTTAGAAAAGTTCAAATAAAACCTATTTTACACTTTTTCTAAATTTCTAATTAAAAACTTGATAATGGTATTTTAATGTTTTCTGCTTTTTTTTTTAATCGATAACTTTTAGCAATATCATCATAATTTTAATTTTTTTCTCTCTAATAACCACAACCATACTAAATAAATAATTTTTTAAAGCAAATATAGTAAAGTAGAAAGAAGATAATTGTTCCTATCTGCGTTTTCTCAACAATTTCATTATAAATATAAAGTAATATAATTTCTAATTTAAAAAAAAAAGGAATTAAGGTATTTTAATAACACCAATAATTTTAAGCAATTTTTACGTAATTTTTTTTTTAAAAGGTATATTATATATATATAAATTTATCTACCATTATAAATCATTTTTGCTTTTACAATATATTATATATATTTTTTCAATATTTATAATAATTTAATTTTTATAATTATACAGATTTATTTTTGTAATTATAAAATAATTTTGTCGCCTTCTGACTATTAACTTACCTTTTTAACTTTTATTTACTAAAAAAATAAATATAATATATAAAAAGTATTTATTATTATAATGTAGATTCTAATCTTTTCATCCCTCCCCACCCCCTTACCCCCAAAAAAACAAACATGTTTTTTTTAAGTATAAAAATCAAGTACATAATGACTTAACGACCACGTTACATTTACTGCACTATATATACAATTTACATTTACAAATATATATAGTTAAAAATTAAAATTTTTAAATATCAGATTAACAAGATTACTTATAATATGCAATTTGTAATTTTAAAAGACCTGTAAAAGTTGAACATTTAAATGAATGGATCTGATGATTATTTTGATCATTATAACAATAATTTTATAATTTATCTTCTTTCTCTTTTCTTTTTTTTTCGAATTACATATTTCCTTTGAACAAAATAATTTTTATATGAAAAACCATTGTAGTTAACAATCACTTAAATGTAATCTATAATAACAAATATATAAAATATATTATCATTGACGACATATTGTCACGATAAGAAAATTATCTAACCCTATCTCATTTCATTATGTATTCAAAAAAAAAGAAATTTTTTTAATATTTGATGTTTCTTAGCGGGTAGACATTAAAAATTAATAATATGTATAATATAGTAAGTAATAAGAAACGAAATAATATTATATTTTTTTATCCTATTAAATTATTATTATATCTTTTTTTTTTCTCAACAATTTGAAATTTCTTTAAACTATATAAAAAAGTTTTCTTTTAACTTTTACACCTTTGTTAATTTGTAAATACGTCTTATATTGTATATGCAAAAAGATTATATGACTTTATATATAAATCAATGTTTAAAATTTAATTATTTATTACTTTTATTTTAATTTTATTTGTTTTTTTTGTTTAAATCCTCCAAAAAAATATAGTATGGGTGTTAATTAAAAAGGAAAATCTGAACAAAATTATTAATTTATTTATGTGGGGGGGGGGGGGGGTCGCGTTGGGTCTTCTATACTGATAAACTATTTTAGAAATGTGAAACTAATTGCATTTAAAATAATGATAAATTTATGCGTTAAATTTTCTTTACAATGATTGGGCCATCAAAAGAAAATAACAAGAATATAATTTCTCATGTACAGGGTCCTCTAATGCGGAGGGGGTAGTAAGCATTTTCTTCGTGAAAGAATTTGATTTTATAATAGTTTTCGATGCATCACTTCAAAAACGAGGGATGAGTGCAATGGCGTATCCAG